AGCTATTTAACACAGGGGAGTGATATCATCGAGGTTTTTCACAAACTTCCTGCCCAAAGAGACTCCTGGAAACACTTGAACAAGGACTGAACTGGGAGGAAGTGCTGGACCCTGTGAAAGCAACACCTGGGGTTTTAAGCTGTAAGCAAATACAGCTGTCCTCTGAAGAATTTTTGCAGCCTGCTCGAATCATCATTTAGAGTAAGAATTTGCTACTCATATCCAATCTCTTTAGTATATTAAGCTTAGTTTGCATGTTTTGTTTGCTAGGTAATCTGCTTTGATCTGTTTGCTATCCCTTATGATCACTTAAGATCTATCTTTTGTAGTTAAACTTATTTTTGCTTTGTCTAAAACCAGTGTGTGAAGTCATAACTTGGGGTGGAGAGCAGTTGCATATCCTTCTGCACATTGAGGGAGGGGGTGAGTATCATGAGCTTATGCTGTACAGTTCTCTGTGCAGCGCAAGATGGTATAATTTTGGATTTACACTCCAGAGTGGGGTGCATGCCTTAGAAACTGGGAGGTGCCTTAGCTGTGCCCCCATGCAGGGGCTGGTTAAAGAACCTGCGTGGGTGTGTCCCTACCTGTATGTGTGCTGGAGCCTGAGGGATTGGCAGGCTAGTCACAGCAATACAGTGTATAGGGAGCCCAGGCTGGTGGATCAGGGGGCTCAGTGGTACCCCAGTTCCAGGTGGCACCCTGGAGGAAACCCATCACAGATAAATCCCCATTGAAGTTGCAGCTCTCAGATTTCTTTGGACTGCCCTTTGTGTGAGGCCTGCTGTTCATGGAAGAAAGAAAAGACATAGAACCTGCCAAGCTGTTCTTTCAATTGCTGGCTTCTTCAGGATTTGAAACTAGAAATTAATCTCCAGTCCTTCCCAATTTCCAAGTATTAGAGACTTGACAAAAAATGGTTACTACCCTTTCGTAACTGTTGTTCTTTGAGATGTATTGCTCATGTCCATTCCATTGTAGACGTGTGCTCGCCACATGCACCGGGGACAGAAGTTTTTCCCCTCAGTGGTATCTGTAGGGGACTGGCTCTGGCGTCCTCTGAAGTGACTCGCATATGCGCCAGTATAAGGAGTGCCGCTAACTCCCCCCACACACACACACTTCTTCCCGGAACTCCAACAGAGGAGAAGGAGGGAGGGTCTTGGAATGGACATGAGCAACACATCTCAAAGAACAACAGTTATGAAAGGTTAGTAACCGTTTTTTCTTCGAGTGATTGCTCATGTCCATTCCATTGTAGGTGACTCCCAAGCAGTACCTCTTGAGGCAGGCAAGAGTTCATGGATGTGTCAATTGCAACACAGCTCTGCCAAATCCAGCATCATCTCTGGCCTGCTGGGTAATGGCGTAACGCGTGGTGAATGTGTGTCCTGAAGACCACATTGCAGTCCTGCAGATGTTCTGGATAGGGACATTCACCAGGAAGGCAGCCAAAGATTTCTGAGCCCTAGTAGAGTGAGCCTTCACTATCAGTGGAGGCACAGCCTGCACCAACTCGTAACAAGTGCGGATGCAGGTGGTGATCCAGTTTGAAATCCTCAGAGGACACCAGAAGGCCTTTCATCCTGTCAGCAATCACAAAAAAAAAAAAGAACTGAGCCGATCTGCAGAAGGGGTTGGTGTACTCCAAATTTAAAGCCAGGGAATGCCTGACATCTAGAATGTGCAAGCGTTTCTCCTCATTGGTTGGGTGAGGCTTTTGACAGAACACTGGGAGGAAGATATTCTGGTTGACATGGAAGTGTGACACCAACTTTGGCAGGAAGGCCGGATGGGGCCACAGCTGAACCTTGTCCTTGTAGAACACCATATACAGGGGCTCCGGAGTGAGGGCTTTATTCTCAGACACTCACCTCGCTGAAGTAATAGCTACAAGGAATACAATGGACCCGTGAGACTGGAGAGGACCAGGTTAAGGTCCCATTGGAGAACTGGGCCCCGGATCAGTAGAAAACGTCTTTCAAGGCTTTTCAGGAACCTGATCATCTCCTAATGTGAGAGTAGAGATCTACCCTGGACACGGGGATGGAAAGACAATATGGCTGCCAGGTGCACCTTGATCGAGGAAAAGGCAAGGCCCTGGTGCTTCAAGTGAAGCAGGTAATCCAGGATGGACTGCAAGGACAACTGGGTAGGGGAGATATCCTGCTCTGACACCAGCAGGTGAAATGCTTCCACTTTGCCAGGTAAGTCATTCTGTTGGAAGGCTTTCTGCTCTCCAAGAGAACCAAGTAGGGCCTGATGTTTGGACACTCTTAGGTGGAGGCTGGCCATAGAATAAATCTTTATACCAAAAAGATCGAGCTTCTTTGCCTCCTTATTCTTAGGGGTTGATCCCAGTTAGCCTTGTCTATTATGCTCATTGGCTGCTGACGCTGAGAGCGAGCTTGAGGCAGCGGGTATGTACTGGTATTCAAACCCCTTAGCAGAGACATAGTACTCCCGCTCTGCCAGCTGAGAGATGGGGGGCAGGGAGGAGGGGGTTTCCCAAAGGGCTTCGATCAGTTTCACAACTCCCTCACGTACTGGTAATGCCACCTTCAAGGGGGCTGCTGCACTCAGCACATTGAACAGGGAGTCTGAAGGCTCCACCAGCAACTCGACTTCCATCCCGAGATTCAATACCACCCTCTTCAAAAGCTCCTGGTGGGCCTTTATGTCATCCTGAGGGACCGTGTGAGAGGGCCCTGCTATCGCCTCGTCGGGTGAAGATGAGAAGGAGGCAGGTATAGATAGGCGTAGTAACTCCACTGCCTCTGCCAGGGAAGCCTCGATTGGAGCTGGCTGTCCCTGGGGAGCTTTCTCTAACTCCGCTTCCAAGTCGGAGGTGGGCGGGAGACTGTGGACGACCGTCTTTCCGATGCTCCCGAGACCAATCAATGCCCCTGCAATGGTTGGGGAAATGCCCCGGGATTCCACAGGTGTCAGGAGTTGGCCATGACCAGGGGTTCCACAGGTGTCAGGGATTGGCCACTGGCCCTGGAGCCATGCAGCCCCTGGGGGCCCAGAAGGAAATGCCAATGCACCGGCGGGTGGCCTTGGCCTGCGGGCAGGTCTTACTTCTCGTTTTCAGAGCCCTAGGAAGGGGAGGCTTGTCTGGGAGACCAGAATGGGACTGATGTTGCCTGTCTACCCTGTTCCCGTCGGCTCTCTCTGCGGACCTCTGCTGGGGAGCTGTACCAGGACCATGTCTCTTGGTGCCATGATTGACGCTTCATGCTATGAGAACGGTGCCACCCCCTGGACTGGGAGTGAGAGGATCAACGTCTTGGATGCCATCAACGCACCCGTGGGGATCCGGCAAACTGGAGATCCAGACACTCTGGGTGCTGGGGCTCTGGGGACTGGCAACACGCCTCCAAGGGGCTGCTCCAGACAGCCGACGATCAATGCCGGGATCCCAGTGAACGCTGCCTACAGACCGGGGGAACCATGCCGGGAACTCTGGCAGGTAAGCCGACCCGCATCGGGGGGCTAGTGGTGCTACTCAGGTGAGCGCTGGTGGGGCAACCCCTGCACTGACAAACTGCTGGATGGGTCCCAGGGCAGGTTTTCCCCTTGAATTTGACACCTCAGTAGCTGGTGTGGACAGCACCAGAAGGGACAATATGTCTGTAGCGACCTGAAAGACCTCCGGCATGGACAGCACCACCAGGTGCCGAGTGCCTCTGCTGCTTTCCGGGGATCGAAGGGAACTTGACAGCTCAATAGGTGCCGGAGCCTGGCCACAGTCCACGGCAAAAGAGCTGCCCCTCGTGGGTCTTTGCTCTCCTCCGGCTCTCTCCTTCCCTTTATAGGACACAGGAAATGCCCTTTCCCAACATTTCTTTGCTTTTTAGCCGGTACTGGGGATGGGATCAGCTCCGGTCTGAGGTTGGTGCCGGTGGCGCATTCCACACCGAGGCTGCAGTGCTCAGAGCAGAGTCCGATCTAGTCGGCTCCGATGCCAGTATGAGAGCTGACTCCATAAGGAGCGCTCAAAGACGAATGTCCCACTCCTTTTTCATTTGTGGCCTGAAGCTCTTACAGATGAGACACTCGCTCATGTGGGTTCCCCCAAGCACTTTAGGTAGCTTTCATGGGGATCACTGACTGGCATAGGTTTCTTGCAGCAGTCACAAGGCTTGAACCCCAGGGACCAGGACATGACCCATCCCTAGACTAAGTTCTGTCCAGGACTAATCAACTGTTACTAACTCTAACACTACTGGAACTATAATACTATACAAGTTTTTAACAACTGTATACAAAAGGTTCACAACTAGACACAGCTGAGAGACATAAACTTGCCGAGGCAAGGAGATGTTCAAGCATCATCTCAGGTGGTAAATAGGAACTGAGGGAGGGGGGAGCTGACGGCACCCCTCTTACCACTACATACACGCACCACTCCAGTACCAGAGCCAGTCCCCTACAAATATCTCTGAGGGAAAAGCTTCCGGCACTGGTGTGTGTGGCAAGCACACACCCTACAATGGAATGGACATGAGCAATCACTTGAATAAGAGCTCCTTGTTTTTATAGTGTGGTCCTTTAGGATTTTTTCAGTTTTCACTTCCCTGCTATTTTCACCAGTGTCCAATGAAGCATGAGAAGAATGATGCACCATCATTGCCTACACTCAAGTCACTTAAAAAGTGACTACCATCCTCTCCCACCTACAACTCAATTTTGTTTTCTTCAGACTCCAGTCACAATCCAAATATTCGGTTAAATTACTCTGTGTTTGATCTTTAGTTGTGGTTTACATTTTTATGGGATAATGACAGTTAGGAAAAAAAGTCTGTAGGTGCTCTAACCCAAGTTATCTGCTGCCATGCATCATGTGAACCTCCCCAGACTATTTTTTAAAACTTAGAATTAGCCATAAATAGCCTGTTACATTTTGAGTGTCCTTCCAAACAATTTTTTCCAGTTCCAGGTTGGGGAAAGAATATCCATAGTCATTTACACCCTTTGTTTGAGCATTCAGTACTTACTTAAGGATAGTCCATGCAGAACTGCACAGTTGGGACAGTGGTACAGATCAATATCAACAGCATGGTGCTCCTCTACCTTGACACAACTGAAAAAGAAAAAAATATTTTCAATGCTCATGAGAATTAAAAAAAAAAATCTCAAGAGTCCAAGTCCTTTTATTTTCCTCTCTATCCCACCCCACCCAAAAAAAATCAATGTTAAGTCTAGCAACATTTACCAGACCACATTGCAGCTTTATGCACTCAGAACTACATACATCAAGACTCCACTCTAGAGCCAAACTATATTGGTCACTTTCAACATCTATACAGCTACTTTAACAATATGCAAATCAAAGTTTAATTGAGAATACCATTAAAGTATCTGATAAAAAGTAACCAGATGGAAGTAAATTCCACAGCGTAACTACACAAATGCTTTGATCTTAATTACAAGAAGCAGGGTGTGCAAGGTAATTAAAGCAAAGCCAGAAAAAAAAGGTATTACTGAAGTCTAAGTGCTGGTAGTTTACAGAAAACATCATGGAAGCTTTGTTGCTTCCCATGTGGCAATGCATGTCTTGGGTAGCATACTGTACAAAAAAAATTTTTTTAAAGCACACAGACTGCTATTCTCTCAAACATCAAAGGGAAATAAGGTATACTATTCATTTTTCCTTATACCTTCCCTTGCAACAGCAGCTAAAAGTGACCACACTAAGTGTATTCTTCTGCTCTGCAAAACATATGCATCCTTTTGAATAAACTTCTTTATAATGCTTATTATAAAATACCTACAATTAGACCATTTATAAACACATTATTTAGACCAAATATTACAGCAGGTTATTTCCTCTCTTGGTAAGATTACACCAACACATATGGATGGCTATAAAAACCCAGCAGGGTTGGAAAAGGTCAGTTTTTCTAGTCAAGATAGCTGGATATGAAATGAAGTATTGATAGTGATATTTTGCAGGTTTTTGCATCACTAGAGATTAATGATTTAGAAAAGCAGTGCTTATATAGAATTTTCTCAAGACAAATTTTATTGTTTAAATACTCTTTTTGCTGAGAGGCATCCAAAGTTTGGCAGAATTCCTCTCTCTTCAAAGTATGTGACTTGTTCATCAATAATGATGAAAGATTAAAGAACAGTTTTTATATCATAAATAGGGCCCTACCAAATTAACAGTCCATGTTGGTCAATTTCACAGTCATAGGATTTTAAAAATCTTAAATTTCATGGATTTCAGATATTTAAATCTGAAATTTCACAGTGTTGTAATTGTAGGGGTGTCAAGGCTGCTTCCCCACTATGAACTTTAGGGTACAAATGTGGGGGCCTGCATGAAACTTCTAAGCTTAACTACCAGCTTAGATCTGGTCCGCTGCCACCACTCCCAAAGTGCTAATTCCCTTCCCTGGGTAGCCTTGAGAGACTCTTCACCAATCCCCTGGTGAATACAGATCCAAACCCCTTGGATCTTAAAACAAGGAGAAATTAACCATCCCCCCTCCTCTCTCCCACCAACTCCTGGTGGATCAAGATCTAACCCCCTTGGATCTAAAAATAAGGAAAAATCAATCAGGTTCTTAAAAAGAAGGCTTTTAATTTAAAAAAAAAAGGTAAAAATCATCTCTGTAAAATCAGGATGGAAACTAACTTTACAGGGTAATCAAACTTAAAGAGCCCAGAGGAATCCCCCCTAGCCTTAGGTTCAAAGTTACAGCAAACAGAGATAAACACTCTAGCAAAAAGATACATTTACAAGTTGAGAAAACAAAGATAAAAACTAACACGCCTTGCCTGGCTGTTTACTTACAAGTTTGAAATATGAGAGACTTGTTCAGAAAGATTTGGAGAACCTGGATTGATGTCTGGTTCCTCTCAGTCCCAAGAGCG